ATAAATTAGGAGAGAATGACAGTGGCTGCATCTGCTTAATTTTTTGGCAGAATACAATGAAAATCACAGGGATGATAGGGCCTTAGAGCAGTGTTTCTTAAACTTTTTTCTCTCAGGACCCCTTCCCACTTTTAAAAATTATAGAGAACTCCAAAAAGGTTATTTGTATAGATTATATTTATTGATATTTATCCTATTAAAAATTAAAATTGACCCATGTGCTGACACTACTACTTCTCACAATTGTTTGATGGGATTTTAATATTATATTATTTTTTAACAGGCTGGCAAATAATTTTTATTTCATGGACCCCTGAGAGGATCTTTGGGGACCCCCAGGGGTCCTCAGACCACACTTTAAGAAATGCTGCTTTAGAAGATATTGTTGCAAAGTTTCAGCTGGAGAGTGTTAAGGCTTTCACCGCAATATATTTTTAATTATTTCTGTGAATCTTCTATATAATAGAGGTGTCAGGACTAGGGTGTAGGAAATCACAGCAATTAAAAGGTATCTATTTGATTTTAAACTTCAAATCTATCCAAGGATTAAATTAAGAAATGGTTATTTGATCAAGCCTTTGAACCGAATAATCTCTTTAAAGCTTTGCACAGCCTGGTACAAATCTCCATGGGTTTTTGTTTATTTACACTAAAAGGAGGGAAGAGAATAAATATTAGCATTACCCTGTCAAATTGTAAGGGGAAATCTTAATACTTCGTTACTTCTGGTCATCACCAGGAAGAACATCCAGTGAGAGGCCCAGCCTATGGCACCTCTTGGTAAATAAAGCTGTAGCTCTCTAGTCCCTTAAGATCAAGGGCAATCGTTCCTATATTAAATGCATATAGACAGGCAGATCTTTCAATGGAATTGTGAATGTTTGCAGAAGGATATGTCTCAAAGGCTTTCACTAAGAAAGCAGTCTGCCTGAAAAACAAATAGCAAAATATTTAAATGTTTAACACATTCATTCTAAATATTGTGGCCTTCACGGTGTAGGCAGTAAACAGGAGTGATCTTCAAAGGCTTGTGTTAAGGCCTCAAAAGCCATGCAATCTTTGCACAAACTCATAATCCAAAGAATTCCACAAGCCTCAAGGACTAGAAGCTATAGCATTTGCGGACATACCCCAACTGAGATAAATTGAATTGTAGAGGAATCCTTACAGACTGAATGGAAAGCACACTTCTGGAATTCCCAGCTTTCCCACGAACTATTTCAGTGAGCATGACTACAAGTTATATGGGCTACGGGTAAACTCTTGTTTAAAACTTGACTTGATTCTAAAGTCTAGGTTAAAAAGGCAAAATAAATAGGTTCAAAGGAATCATGGCAAAAAAAAAATTTTTCTGCGTCAGTTTCACATAAAGATGCATTTTGAAATTCCTCCTGTGCTGTGAAGTCTGGAATGTATCCAGTCTTGAATAAAACCTGAACTAGCTAAATGCCTCCATCATAAGAAAGTACTTCCTTACGTTCGGTTGAGAGAAACTTGACTTTGCCATGTCAAAATTAAATATTTGAAGCAGGAGAACTGTAGAGGATGGATGGAGCTCATTTGACTGCTGTGGCCTAGGAAACTGGCAATTGAATGTGTGCTTAATCTACCAAGAGGTTATTGTCGAAGTTGATTTGAAGCACGCAGCCTTACATTTCTGACCAATCCATCTATGAAGTGATACAGACGAACATGCATGCGTATTAAAGCCAAGATCTCAATATATATTTTATATATATTATGCATTTTATATATATTTATAGTTTTAATGTCTTTGTAAGCCACCCAGAGTCTTCTATTGTGGGAGAGACGGGTGGTGGAGAAATCCAATAAATAAATAAATAAATAAAT